TCATCATCAGTGATACAGTATAAAGCAGATTCAGTTACAAATTTGTTATTTCTGCTTACTGTTTTAATAAAACAAAATGCAACAAATATAGAAAACATGTTTTTAATACTCAAAAGAATATTTTAAAGATTAGAATAAACGAGCATTAAGGTTTAGTTTTTAGAGCTTTTTATACTTTTAATATTTGTATTTAAACATTAAATGAATTTTTATTAAGCTCTATTAATGAAAAGAATTTAGTAATTTAAAGGAATAGCTTTTATTATGAGATAACAAATTTAGTTTTACGAAGTTTCATGGTTTGATTTATTTTTACTACAAATCACTAATAATTTATTATTATTATTATTATTATTATATGGTAGATCGTACAAGACTGATATTATTAGATACAATAATCTAATATAGCAAAAGAAAGTAGTGAACATAATTAGAAAAAAGTTGTAAATTTTTTGATGTTGTTCGTTAGAGTGATCATCAAACTAGTAAAATCAAACCATAAGTAGCATAATATGTACTAATTACTATTTAGGAATTTTTTTATAAAAATCCAAAATTACTGCGAATGATAATAACTTTCAGTACTGTTTTCTTTTGAACTAATATAATTATTGCCAGTCAAATTTTTGGCAAAAGATATATTAACCCGTTTAGAATAACAAAATAGAGACATTTTTTTGATTTATCCCATATATTAGTAGTTAGTTCTTTAACAAAATAAACAAACTTTATCCAAAATTAACAACAATGAATCAATTAAAATTTGAAAAACTGAGGCTATTATCAGAAAGAGAAAAATAAAAGCTACAAGTTAAAAAAAATATGATAAAAAAACTTTATATCCTTAGCTAGAAAAGTGTATCTTTGTAAAACGTATTAAAAAAATATTCCTATTAAAATTTATATCTTCTAAAAGCGGCATTTTCAAATTTGTTATCATTATGTGTGCCATATGAAGTTTACAAGAAATCCGAAATGAATTTAAGTTAACTTCTTTGTTAAATAATATTATAGTACTGTTTTTGTAACCTGATATATATGCTATATTATTGCTTGTGCAAGTTAAATATTTAATTGGATCTAACTAATATTGGTTACAAGCTTTAATGACAGCATTTGCAACTGATACACCTGAATATTGAGCTAAATATTTGAGCTTTAATAAGATAACTTTTGGTTCATTAGCATTTAAATCCCAATACATGAAATATATAACAAAAATTTTGTTGTCATCACATGTTAACTTGTTGGCCATAATTCTAAAAGTAAACAATTTCAAAGTTTTAACAATAGCACATTGTTGGGTTATATAAATATTTGAAACATCTTTATACCATCCAACAAGAGTGCTAATAAAAAACTACTTATCCGGCTCTTCGTCTATTAACTATTCGATTACCTTCTTTGTACAAGTTATTGCAGATCAGTAAGACATTTCTCCAATTTCACAAATTTGTATAGCCATTGAAATAGCTTGGGTACTATATTGCTTTTTATTTTTTATAAGCCGATCTCGAATGATTAATTTTAATTGTTTATTAGTGACTGTAGATATTTTACACTGGTCAAAATCAAAAATATCTTTCTTATATCTTCAAATAATCGGTCTAGATGATAGCAGGCTGATAGACTATTGGTTATAAACAGATTGGATAGAAAAAAAACAAGCTGATAGGCTGAAGATTTTAGAAAAATGCATTATATATCGGTTAATTTTATCAAAAAATTATACAAATATCATTATAATGATACAGATCAAAATCAAAAATATTATAATAGTCTATACTATAATCATTTAGAGTAATAGCAGGCTGATATGCTATTGACTATGAACTAATTTATAGAGTATAAAAAAAGCTGATAAGTTGAAGATTTAAGTAAATATATTATATATCAGTTTGGTACACAGGTCAAAATCAAAAATATTATCATCATATCATCTAATAATCGTCTATGGTGATAGTAGACCAATAGGCTATTGGTTATAAACTGATTGATTAGATATAAAAAAAGCTGATAGACTAATAATTTTAGTAAAATATATTATATATCAGTTTAATACCAAATAAAAATATCTATTTATTATAAAGAAGATTAGTTAATCTTTAAAAAGATATAAAGAAAATATTAATAAGATATTCAAAAAATGATTAAACGATTTGATTAATCATAAGCTGATATTATAATAGCTATTTAATAAAATTTTGCAAATTGTTAAACAATATTTGGCAGATATTTAAAAAATATTTAGCAGATATTTAAACAATATTAAACAGATAATTTGATAATATTTAGTCGATATTTAAAAAATGTTTAGTTGATACTTAAAAATATATAGTTAGTTTATATAGTTAGTAGATTATCGATCTTATATTATCTAGCTGATAACAGGTTAATAAGTATTAATTCTAAAAATATTAGTTTAAGTTTATAGCCTATCAGCCTAATATTATATACTAATTAACTAAATAATATTAAACTAATATATTGCAGTTTTTATAATCTGTATAATATTAGTTTAATATTGTTTTATACTAATTATAAAATAATTAGTTTAAATTAATAGCCTATTATTCTAATATTCTATACTAATCAATTAGATAATATTAGATTAATATATTGTTAGTTTTTATAGTTAGCAATCTATTAGGCTAATATTAGCTTAAATAATAGTAGGCTGATATGCTTAGTTATATTTAAGTTGATAGTCTATTGGCCTAATATCATATACTAATCAACTAGAATAATATTAAACTAATATATTGCTAGTTTTTATAATTAGTAATTTATTAGTCTAATATTATCCTAGATAATTAGTAAAATATTAAAAAATTAATTTGATTTAATTAGTTTTGTTTGCATTTTTTTTATTTTTTTATTATTTTTCTTTCTTTAGTTTTTTTATTCACAATTATCTTTTACTTATATTGTTATTTTTATTTTATTTATTTTTACTTTTATTTTATTTTATTTTATTTTATTTTTTTACTTAGGCAGATCGTGCCAGTATTCTTTATTCAATAAAGATCAAATCTGTGGAAATATTATTAACATTGAAGCTATGAATCTGATATCCTGCGGTTACCTCGTATAATCTAACTAATTATTTACACATACTTACAGGTGACTATGCTGTACCAGCGGAATACGATCAATTAAGATAATACCCACCGGGGGCTCGTCCAACCACTGCTTTACAATAGGATATCGCCAATCTGATGATATCTTCTTATAGAAAGTGAAAGAAAAAGAAAAATTTTTTTAAGAAAACAAAATACAGAGATATAGGGGAGTACATAAAAAAAACAAATAAAAGAAAAGAAAAGGGATAAAAAATAACCGAAAAAATTAAACTAAATGTGAGATTTTTCACCCACACCGGACGGTCACAATTATAAGCCTGTGTCGGGCTATAAAAATTACATATTACTATCTAAACTATTCTCTACACTAATTTATATAATTAATATATTTAAGCAAAAAACCCATCATAGAAAAAAAATCAGCTTCTTCGACTATAGCACCGTAGAGAGGTCAGAAGTTCGCATCGTTGAGCTCAAAGCATTGTTTGTCCAGAGGCACATAATCCAGTTATCCACATCACTGCATCCACGTGTTTGTTGTGACAGGTAATAAACGTAAACAATGCCGCTCGATTTGGTAAGTAAACAAGATGTTGATCTTTTGGAGAGGGTAAACTTAATTGTCCACTTTTTACAAAATTTTTCCTGAAAAATAAGTAGGGGCCAACAAAAGTGTGTGAGGTTTTTTTGTAAGTTTTACAGTCATATAGTTGTATTTTCAAGCTTATACTAATGTAGTGAGGGCTGGTTTACTCTTGCTTCTAGAATAAACCTTCTAGTTTGGATGCCGAATAACCCAAGAAATCTGTTACAAAAGAAGAACAAAAACTTAACCCCAGAAAAAATCACTTAAGTTATGCCTGCTCCTCAGTGTTTTACATCTTTCAAGCTTTGTCGACAGCAACCTGATCAAAGGTAAGTTTAGTTTTCAGAATAAACCTTCTGGTTTGGATACCAAATATCTTGGGGAGTCTACCGACAATAAAAGCTTGACTCCAAGAAAAACCACCTAAGTTACGCCCGCTCCTCAGTATTTCACGTCTACAGGCTTTGTTAACAACTGTTTACGCAGTAACAGGACTACAAATAGTATATTCTTGGACCTTCCTATAACGTTTTCCTGTAGTTCAGTTTTTTTTTGTTGCATTGTCCAAAGGATCATCAGGAAGAGTTTTTTTTTGTTTTTACTTTTATCTTTACTTTATCTTTATCTTTTTGTTTTATATATTTGTAAATCTTCTTTTTCTAAATTGATATTTTATAATTAGTATTAGTATAAATATTATATT